AACCAGACCTATGACAACCTATACTACAGGCCAATTTCTTTTGAGTGAAGATTATAAGCTATACAATTAAAAGAAAAGGTAACAGATAATCACAAGGCTTCAGAAAAGTAGAAACAGCCTATCTATGTAATTTGGAAAACATCCACTGAAGTTTTGGGAAAAAAAGATATCCAATTCAACTGAAAAAAAAGTCAAAATAGTAGCTACAAACATATGTCAAATAAAAATGACAGATTTGGGAACAGCCTTGACATTCCTAATCCTGAATTAAGAATAGTTTAACAGCTTAACAAAGCACAGACCCATAACACTGAAAGAAGAGGTAAATCCTATTAGAGAGTCCATCTGATCAGGGAACTGGGTCCGGACCGATGTGTCATTATGGAGCTACTAAATAAAAGCATAGGGAACCGTGTTGCTCATAAACAAATTCCTCTCTGTGATGACCATGTGAGCCCTAGGATGCTAAGTACCCCAAAATGCAGTGATAAAGGACACAGGACCTTGGCCATGAATAAGGAGCCAGGGAATCTGATTCTCCATTACCCACATGCTGGTGGGCTGTCTTTCCCTAGTTATCCAATGACAACTCCAAACCATGTTCCTGACACATGAAACAGACTCCAAAAAAGCCTAAATTTTAGAGAAAAAAAAGTTATTTGCTGCATAGACTACAAATTTAACTACTCATAGCCTCTTTGTGTGCATGAAAATTAAACTGTGAGCAGGTCTTCAGAAAATGAACTCATTTGCCAACTGACATCTATCATCATTCAGATTTTGAGCAAAGTAGCACCAGTGATGAAGGAGGTGAAATGAGCTCAGGGAAGGTTTGACCTTGGAAGTGAACATGATAACCTTCCCACCTGTGAGAACCAAGGGCATCTGGAAAACCCTGAAAATATAAGCAACCTGGTTCTCTACTTCACCCTCTAAAGTCAGTGCTGCTGGAACCTTTAAGCCTCTTCCTAAAACAACACATCCTGTACAACCAGGCCTGAGGACAACCTTTCCTCAAGCTTTCCAGAGCACTCGGGCGATAATGAGGCCCTGATTCAGCTCTGAAGCATCTGGATGGATGGTAAGGAGCTCCTGCACACCCCGAACCCACAAAGAACCAAGCAGCACTGCCTGCTCATAACAACCATATTTTAGTTTGCAATGTTCCTAAGACTAACACTGTGCTTTTACTTCAGGTACAAAATGCCTGCCACATCTCATCAGTTTCTAAGTTTCTAAAGGGTGGCCTTGGGCAAAGTATTTACCTCTTTGAATATTGTTTTCTTCATCTGAAAAATGGAGTAAATAATACTTATCGCAGAGTAAGCATAAAAGTGCTCTTTTATGTGAATGTGTTACACATACAACACAAGCTCAATACAGGTTTCAGAAATATCCCTATAACTTTTGGATGGCAAGAGTCCACCTTCAATGCAAGTTCATGGAATGCCACCACAACCATGGGTTATTCATTCTGCAAACCAGAGAGCTGTCTATAATTACAGTTGCTGCAACCAGTGGAGAGCAACCCTCTATACTCTCTGATACTGGGAGACTTTCCTGGAAAATCCTGACCTAACCAGCTCTAGGTTTTGCAGAAATTTTGATGGAGCCTGGTGCAAGTTGGGTTTCAGGAAGGTGACCACAGGCTGCTTTGGTTCTGAGAGGGAGGTAATGCTCCTCCAGGGTGGTCTGGCCTCTTTAAGGGGAACAAAAAAAAAAGTTACACAGGCAAAAAAACCAGCAACACAAACCAACCAAAAATGCCAGGAATGCAAGCTCTGCCAACCAGATAAATAAATAAAATGTGAGATACTTTATAATAACTGGACATAATGCATTTCTCAATCCTGCATCATGGATTTCCATCTACCCTGCAAATGTCCTCCTTGTCCTGAGATTCAGTGGACTTCCTACTCTGAGGAAATAGTGAAAGCCTCCATCACCCAAAATGACTGAACAACCTCTAACTGTGACGGCCCTCAAGACACTCTAAAAGTCACCTGCTGACCACGTTTGTTCTCTGGGGCAAGAATGAAGCTTCATTATGACAAGATCTCAGTGAAGAAGGTAAAAGAGTCCTCTTTAAGTTTGCTCCTCTTGCCCTCTCTAACAGCAGATTTGGGGGAAGGTATATAATACAGCACCATATCCCCTATCAACCCTTTCACGGGCCTCTGAAAATTCTACACTGGTCAAGGTTATGTTTGTTGACTTGCTTTCCAGTTAACTGTTAAATAGAAATGATTACAGGTCAGGCTTTAATGTTAAGATTTTGCACATATTCATAGTTTTAATTCTCACACAACCCTAAGAAGCAGAATGGCTACTGATATTCATTTTACACATGTAGGAGCTAGAGCACAGAGAGATTAAGTAATCTGCCCAAGGTCACACAGCTACTAAGTGGCCCAGCTGGAATTCACACTCAGACAGGCTGGCTCCAGAGTGCCTGCCCTGAACCACTGGGGCTTTTAGTCACAAACAGAACATGGTCAGTGGGGTTCTGGGAACACAGTGAGAAAATGATCCTAACAGCCTGAACTTCTCTGTCCTTCTTTCTTGTCTACATTGAGGACAAAGACTGACCAAGCCAGGAAAGGACAAAAAGCTTCTTCCTATCTTTAAGGACAATAAAGGTCCCCACTGTACGGACATCCTCTGCTGGGTGGAACAAGGTTTGGGGCTACTGCTTTTATTCTTATACATGGGTAAACATCCAGAACTGGAACTCTGGTTCTTATCTTTATACCAGGTTCACCTCACCAAGAAGGTGATTTTTCCCTTCTTGGTGAAGGGGAGGAAAAATTAAGCAGCTTGGGAATGTGTTTGCTTTGGCACCCAGCCTTGGTGGCCTCAGCCCCTTCTCAGCAGACTCCATACCAAGAAAGAACCAGGAACAACTCAATAGCTGGGTTTGGTTTTAGCCTATGTAAGATCTGAGAACAGTGTGATTAGGCAGTATAGCCCATTTTACACTTTAATGGAAAATCAATGCTGATGTTTTTTCAAAGTATATGTTATTTTGGTGCTTAGCACTGTCAAATCCTGTAAAGTCTCAATAAGGAATAAAAGTGAATAAAGGTTCTTGGTCAAGTCCTAATGACAAAGCAGGCAAATATTCCAGGTCCACTGACTTCTGTTTGGACACCCTACCTCCCTAATGCTTCTCTTTGGCTAAATTTGGGAGTGTGAAGAAAGGAAAATTCTAGTTTAATCAGTGAAGCCAGATAACATCCCACGCTAGTTTCTACACATAAAAAACTAAGCAACCCAAAGAAATCATACTGACAAATACTTAACTCACAGCTATGGATCTGAAGCCACAGTGTAAGCACTTAAACTTTAAACACATGTCCTATATGGTCTGATGAGCCAGGCAAATCTCTATTTAGTCAATGTCTTATCCATCCATTGGTGAAAGCAGGCAGCCTTGGCCAAGGGTTCTTCCATTTTTGCACCTGCAAGTTTAAGTCTTAATTGACGTTTCTTTGCTAAGCTTTCACAAGTAACTTGAATGTTACTCATGGCAATGTACACTGAGAAGTTACACACATTCATTCTACTCAGCCACTGACTGGACGTTTTTACATAAGTTACTTACCTTTTATGTGCCTCTACTTCCCTCTCTAAGGTATAGTTATAATACTTACATATAAGCAAATAAAGTCCAGAAAAAATTAGCTAAAAAGCAATTATCGTATTGTACATATATTTTCAAGTTTCCCTCTTTATTTTCCCCCAAGAAAGTACTAGAAATATTGAAGGTCACTTACAAAATCTGACTGGTGGCTTAGGAACCTTTTTGGAACAAGAAAGTCATTATAAGGGTGCTTATTGTAACAGACAGTGACTGTAGCATTAGGCCATACTATCCCCATTTTACAGACAGGAAAGCTAAGTAAAATTACTTGCCTGGGGTTATTTTTATCAATAACTGAAGTAACAGCACCATATACTTTAAATCTCTAATATTTAATATTAAATTACCAAAAAACATGCTTCAGCTGTTTACTGTGATCTAAAACATGTGTTGCCAGGGGCTCTTGTTCATTTCTAGCAAGAAAGACCCACGGTAGGTATGTAAACTGACATATCTACATGATATTTCCCAGATGACCAAATCTGTCTCTTCCCCATAAACACACATAACAACACATATAAACAAGTCATTCTTAAGGAAAGGGTCTATTAGTTGAGTTTATATCTTTGCTGTGAACTATCTTTTCACTTCTACTATATATGGTTTGTATCAATTGTGACACACAGAACTTTTCCTGGCTTCTTTGAACCCCCAAACACAACCTTCATAGCAACATCACTTCTGGTTTGCAGCCCTCAACGCCTGAAATGCCCCCAGCATTGCTCTGACCATCATCAAGCTGTGACAAACTCAGCCTTCTTTGTACAGAGCAATCTCCAGGCTGAATGTTAGGAGGTCATGGAGAAGCAACAAGATCTCAATGTCTTTATTAACATTTCTGAAGAATCTCAGAATGACAGAACATCAGCTTGGCTCATGTTGAAAATTTAAGCAGATTAAGAAAGGGTTAAACTAACAAACTAGTTATGACAAAGGCAAAGAAAGGACAGGAACAACTAAAGTTAGTGATCATCTAGATACAACTGAGGTGAATGTTACAATTATCTTCCAGAATGCACCACCTTCTCCCCATATCTTTCTATACTTTCACCCCCAAAATCATTTCTAAGGACAACTGGCACTTCCCAACCTAAAAGTTCTCTCTCAAACTACATTCGTTCCAGGAATCCTGTAGAGTTGACTCCATCTGCTTAGCACCAAATTCGTGCCTTAGACCAAAAGAAATTTCTTTTCCTCTCTTCTAGACAACACCATGAACCAAAGACACTAAGTCATGTCTAGTGCCACCAGCATCCCCTGTAGAAATGCAGCGCCCAGAAGGGAGCAGTGAAGAGGAAAAGTGGAGGGGACCCCGGAGCTGGGGTTGGGGGGGGGGGCCTCGGCAGTCACCACTCACCCGGGGAAGGGAAAAGCTCCAGATCGACCTTCTCCGTCTTGATGATGGTGAGAGTCGGTTTGAGATCGACGGCCGCCTTCATGGTGCCAGGAGTGGGGGGCAAACGGGATGACAGCAAGTTTGCTGTTACTGTTGTTGTTTTTCTTTTTAATGAGGATTCTTAACAAGGGAAAGGGGACGGGGGAGGGGGGAAATCCGACTTTCTTCCCTAAAATCCCAAATGCCCGCCGACTTTGCCCCGTGCCGGGACGGTGCGCGCCCGGCACTGTCTCCCGGGAAGTTGGCACTTTGCGGAGAAGTGAGCGCGCTCGGTCCCCGCCTCGCTCGCTCCCTCGCTTCCCTCGCCCTCTCGCTCGCTCGCTCCTCTCGGCCGCCGCTGGCTGCCGCGGCTCCCTTGCTCGCTCACTCTCCCTGGCCGCGATCGCCCTCCCTCCCTCTCGCTTGCGCGCTCTCCCCTCCTCTTTAGGGCGTTTCTCCCGGCGCCAGCGCCCAGCCGCGGGTCCGCGCGCCCAGCCCCGGCGGTCTGCTGAGGGAGGGGGAGAGGGGAGGGCGCAGCCTCCCGAGTGCTCTCGACCAATCACCGCCCTCAGACTAAAGCGAAAGGAAGGGCGGGGGCGCGCCGAGTCCCGCTGCGCGGCCGCCCTGCAGCTAAGCGGAGTGCGCGGGCCGCGGAGCCCACGCCGGGAGGAAGGGCCTGGGGCTGGCGGCAGGCTGCGCGCAGGGGCCGCTTCCACTGTTTCGGGGAAGTCCATCTGATTCTCCACGCATTCTTGAGGGTTTGGTCATCCGCTGCTGCCCCCCTCCCGGCAGCAGCATAGTTTTGCAAGTGCGTGTACATCATTCATTCACAAAGACTGACACACAGGACGTGAGGCATGTGGATGCAGGGGTGCGCGTGCGGGCAGGCGCGGGGGATTCGTGAGCTGGGTCCCCATCCCCAGCCGCCGGGCAGTGAGTCAGGAACCCACCCGTGGAGTTTTCAGAGCCCATCCGTGGAATGGTTAAGAAGTGACAGGGAGCAGAAGTCTTGCTTCGCGGCACTTGATCAGAACCTAGCTTACTGGACTCCAGCCGCCTGGAGACCCCCCAAAGGCAGACCCAAATGCTCCTGGATTAGCGGGGGACTCCAGCCTGGGGGACCCAAAATGAGCTTCCATAAGCTTCCAGTTTTACACCAATAGTAGAAGACATAGTTTCTTTCTGTTTATTCAATTACTCTAATTATGTCACTTTATCTTTCAGACTCTCCATTAGATAAAACTGTTATCCGTCCTGCCACCACCGCTCCCAAAAGGGGAGCATGCAGCTCTCTGGTTTGAATTTCTGAAGTACACCATTGGAAGTCCAGGAGACCCTCAATGCACAGCCATTGTTATATTAGGGAAATTCCCAACTCCTCAGATAACACAATATGAAGCCAAATAATTCACGATTTGCCATGATACACTGGTGATTATAAATGGAGAGAGTTGATCTTTGTGTGTGTGGTACTGGGGTTTGAACTCAGGGCCTACACCTTGAGCCACTTCCACCAGCCCTTTTTTGTGATGGGTTTTTATGAGATAAGGTCTCGCAAACTATTTGCCAGGGCTGGCTTGGAACCTGGAACCACGATCCTCCTGATCTCTGCCTCTTGAGTAGGTAGGATTACAGGCGTGAGCCACCAGGGCATTAAGTACATACATAGCTGGAGCCAGGCACTGAAATCTTTTATTAACTAGAAAATTAAACATAAATCTTCCTGAACAACCTCAGAGAGAGCTATCTTTAATATTCTTCCCTGATTTCTAAAGGTGTGTTGAACTTCCACACTTACCTCTGTGTCCTCTCCCCTCTGATCAATTTTAGCACACCTGCTTACCTTCATCTAAAACTAGTTTTGTCTCCTTGGAGCATTAGTAACTTGCAGATTCCCACAGCAAATCAGGAAAAGAGACATGAATAGAATGTAAACCTCTGGATCTTGGTTCAACTTCCAGATTACACCCTGTCTTCAGTGACCAGAGGAAAATACTTGTATGTGATAATCCTAATTTTTTGAAAGAACAAAGACTTGCAGTCCAGCTGTGTTTCCAGAAGGTATAAGAAAACAATGCTGGCCTCCAGATGACAAGAACAGACACTTTGGATCCTGGGAAAAGCTTAAGGAAACAGCTGATGAATGAATTGTATATTCACACACCCAAATACGCAGCAAAGAAAAAGCTCTTGAACTAGCCATGCCTTACACACTGTGACACAAGTAGGAAAACTGAACAAATCAACAGTTGCTTCAGGGAATTTTATTTTGTTGATGATGTCTTATGAAAATGCTGGAATTTTTTAATCCAAGTATGAGTACTTCTCTGCAAATGCAGCTTCCTCAGCACAGGTCTGTTCCTCCACTTTCTTCCCCAAGCTAACCTAAACACTGCTGCTAACATTCACATGAGACTCTCAAACAGCCCACCATGATTCAACTGTAAACACTTGCCACTTGAGCAACACTCGGGAAGGGAATTTGTTCCTTCTAATGCTTCAACAAAGACAAATCAACTAGTCAGTCATTCTGTTTCTAACCCAGTCCAGAAGCACAGAAGCTCAAGTGTTCAAATGTCCAAATCAGAGAATGGGGATGGGCAAAACAGGAGAGACAGCCTGGGGCCACCATGGACCTCCAGGAAAGCTATTTCTAGGTGATACTAATTATGAATGTTGTTTACATCATCAAAAGTTTTTCATTTAGCCTTGAATCTGGTTGAAACTTCCCTTGGAAGCAGTAATAAGGTCAAGTTAAAATATTTTGACATATTGGGGACATTAATAATCCAACCAGGCCTGTGTCATACTTGGTTAATTAATTTTTGATAAAATGAAATTTTTATTCTTTTTAGGACACTTGTAGATTTTTCTAAATATTCTTATGAACTTTAAATGACATTACTATTTCATATCCTAAAAAAAATACTTAGCCCAATGCCTAAGACATTATAGAAGTTCAATAAATATGTGTTAAATGAGGAACTGTCAGCTTTCTGGATATTTATGCTTTTCTACTTTTCCACCAATTCTTAACTCCTAATTCCTAATTCTTCCTAATCCCTAGGTTAAGGGACTTTGATATACTATGGCTTGGGAAGATGAACTAAATGATGTCAGCAACTCTGCCCTTTATCCCTCATGGTAGAGCAGAACACCTATTCCCAGCACTTATGTCCACTCAGGTTCACATATACCTCAGTTTCCCTGTAAGTGAAACAAGAGCAGCCAAGCCTCACCTTCCACCAACTTGAGCACCATATTTCAAGATCATTTTTAAGGGACTCAGAGGAAAAAAAAGTCAAACACTTTTTTGCTTTTGCTTACAATACAGTGATGTCTCATGCACTGGACAGAAAACAGATTTGTATTTTCAAACATTCCTGTGACTTTTGCTAATTCCATCCAGCAAGACATCCAGCCAAGTGCTGGAACTCCTTAGAACAGGAACACCAAGTCAAAACACAAGCAAAAAAAAAAAAGCCAAGAAAAGGAATTGAAGAACAAGAGTATGAAGCTAGACGTGAATGGCATCAAAACATGGATTATGTAAAAAACACAATTTTTCCCTTCTATATTCCTCTCTCAATTCACTTCAACCTCAATAGAATCAAAAATATAAAAATACAACTAATTTCAAACAATCATGGGAGACATAATCTCCCTCTCCAGAAGTAAGCTAAAATTTTGAATCTTGAACATCAACAAAGCAAAGAATCTGAGATTTGAGCAACAGTGTGCTTTACTGAAGGCAGGTACAAAAACATTCAGACCACTAACGGATGATCCAGAGTAAGTTTATGACTCACAGATGTTGATTTACTGGTATAAATGTAAGATTTAAAAAAAAAAAAAAAAAAAGCTCCCAAGCTCTCAATTAGCAACCTGTTTGAGCTGCATTTGTGGTCTTTTTTGTCTGAAAAAAGGCAACAGTCCCTGTTATACTCTAAAAAAGGCTTCAAAAACTTAACTCTGAACCAAGTGGTTTCTATGTGATATGTTCAGTGAAAAGCACACTAGAGAAGGAACATGTCTGGGGCTTCAGTATCTACCATTATCAAGCAGCAAGGAAAGGGAAAACTGGAGATAGAGAAGACAATTAAAATAACTCTATTAATTAAACTCAAATTCCAAAAGGGCTTAGGGTCAGTTTAGGAACACAAGTCTGGAATGACAACGTGGTATTGCAGATTGCAGGCTGGCTCCATGACCTCACCCAGGCTGCTTAACATTTTGGTGTCACAACCTCATCTTTGCTTCAGGGAATAAAATCACCCCTGGCTGTCCCTACCATGTAATACAGACTCATTAGCTATTGTTTAGAAGGTACAATAAACAATAAAGGGATAAGAGAGCCTATTTAGGAGGGAGAAGGGGAGGAGTGAGGGGAAGACTTGGGGGTCTTTTTTGCCCTGAAAAATTCTCTTTAATGAGAGATCTAGGGTAGTAAACAGCGTGGACTCTGGAATAAGATTCGGGATTCAATTCTAGCTGTACTAATTAATCATCTGAATTACTATGGGGGTTAGTCACTTAAACAATTCTGAAATTCAGTTCCTTCATGTTTGAGAGGAGAAAATATAGCACCGACCTTTTAAGGCTATTTGGAGAATGAAATGAGGTGATGGATACAAAACGTTTAGCACAATGTCTAGATCAGAAAAAGTGTTCAATTAATATGGAATTACTATTACTGTTTTGAAGATCCAGTGTAAAGTAGACTAAGCGAGAAATCACTTTAAGTCTTTCTCTTACCTTGGAACCTCAATTTACCTGAACTGACAGGAGATGGAGACAACTATCATGTTTAATTTTAAAATCTCTTCAAGCCCCTTTCTCAGATCTTGAAAGAGGAATTGCCCAGCCTTGGCCTCACTTGGGAAAGTCCAGTACTACCTGACTGGAGAAGAAAACTTCAGATTTGTATTTGTTTTAAGAGATACAAAAAAACTGTTGTTCAAGACAACGTTAGTGGTGCCACTTTGGAGACAAAACCTTAGACCTTGATCACCACATGATCAAACCAGATCTAGTGAAAGTCAAGTGCAACCCTCCCATTCACCAGAGGAGAAAACTGAGTTTGAGTGAGAGCAGTTCACCCTCTCCAGGGCCACACAAGTAAGGAAGACAGAGTGAGGACCAGAAGGGTATCCCCTGACAGCTGTCCTTCCATGGAACCACCTGGCATTTACAGATGCCACTTTGACAAGAGAAGTCAAGGCTACTCAGCTTGGTCGGTTCCAGTCACCCTGTGTACATCAGAACAGGTAGATATCAGACTCAAGCTCTAGAAATCCAGTAAGATTCTGTGCACTAGATGAGCAGTCTTGGGACAAGTAGATTGCAGGATAACCACACTCTTGTTCCCTGTGGGAGACAGCTTGGCATAGGCTATAAGGAGAAAAAGGGTCTGGCTTGGCTCTA